GACAATTTTAAAATCAATATATTCTAATTCTATTTCTATTACATGTACTATCCCGTTGGATCCTTATGATTCAAACTTGACACAGAGAACACAGAAAACAGTTAAGTCATAGAGTCAAAACCATGTTGTATTGCATGAAGATTTGGGGCCCAATCAGCATTGAATAAGTAAACAGGTCCAAATGGCAATACCGGTATAACAAGGTCATCGGGCAGAAACAGGCAAAAAACGAAGCCCCCCTATCAGAAATCAAACTCACTTCTTTTGTGCACAACACCAAATAGCCTAACTGCTACACCACCCGCACCAGTGACCACACTGTAGTGAAATGAACACTGCTCCTGCTACTTTGAACAAATTGTCGATGCCCTACTGAGACAAAAGTGCAACAGAGAGGAAGTGTCGCACAACACGTCTCTTCCAGGTCACTTACTCATGTCCAGACAGATGGACCAACATTTCATTCAAATACACCAGTGAACAGCTTGTGGGTAAACTCATTTAAAAGTAAGACAAAGGTTTATCATTTCTTTACATGATCTTCCCAGGTAATAATCTAGTGAATCAAAAAGAACTTCCCGAGACAGACATCTACATGTACTGAAGAGTTTCTAGTCCCCCGCTAGTCTCTTCCTAGACATGATGAGACTCTAACAAGTTTTTCTCTAGACAGACATCACACGGGAACTAAAACCTACTGGGCTTGTTTTTGATTCAACTGTAAGAAATCTAAATAACACATCACCATGTGACAGGGAGATGTAACATAATATATGAAATCATATTATTTAAGCTCTGGTACACAAAAACACAAGTATATATTTAAATCTATAAAAACGTATAGTGGTCTCGGCCTTTGAATGTGGTCGTCGGGAAACAGAACAGCTGGGTTGTTAGGCGAACCAGATTCTTGGGCAGATTTTAAGGGGTGTAGCTCAGCTCCAACCTATTTTCTCTAGTTTATTATTATATGATGAAATAGTAACCTGTACTGTAAGCAATACTGACTGGTGTGGTTTTAAAAAAAAATAAATCGATCAATATAGATCTAGCGTGTGTTTGAGCATGTCTGAATGGTGTGCGTTGTGTTGGACGCAAGTGAGAACCAGAGGCTTCAAAGTGAATTTTCAAACAAGGCGACATTATCACAATAAGACTATGACTTGATAGCATTGAAACAAACAATGAAACAGTACCAGTGAAAAGGCTGAAGAAGTGAAGGGAAAGAATGACCCTGAAGAGGCTAGCTTTTAAAAGATTAAGACAATCTAATACTTTAACTTTAACCATGAGAGAAGAGCACGTTATTGTACCAGTAAAAAACCACTTGGTGACAGAACTCATTCCGCAGAGCTCATGAGTTTGCCTAAAAAAAATTACTATTTAAATTGTGCATGCAGCATGTAGATTTCGATGCCAATTAGTCTATGCCAACTCCCATCCAAAAATCCGAACCCACGCAAAATATGGAAAAAACAGTTCAGAAAAAATTATTGCCCTGCACTCAAACAAGTTCCTTAGGTCAGATTTTTATTTAGAATGGATTCTAAGGCATGGAAATCATGGCGAAAAAATTTTGGCTCACGGTAAAAGTGGGTTTCTTAGGCAGAGAGCTCTTAGGCCAAGACCCCTATAAATGCATATATAGGTATAACTTTTGTTTCAAGGTCTGATGGAGGTACTGATTACTCTGGTCACTCCAGTCACTCATGGAGAGGACAACAGCAACAACCAGAACAGACAGGTTAGCACCAAACACACCAGACATATATAGATGAGTCTTAAAAATTTCACACCACTATATGAATGTCTCAGACAGGACAGAACAATATGTCAGACAATCTACTACAAATCAAAGGCTGGATGCAAGACTCCGAAAAACACCAGTATAATGCAATTTGGTTTTTGCTGGAGTCTTGCACCCAGCCCTCAGTTTGAGAACCCCAGAATAACACGGGTCTATCTCAGTTGTACTCACTTTGGAAATATTTGAGTTTAAAGTTTTCACACATTACATCTCCCTCAAATAAAGGCAAAATTAACATGGTTTTTATCTCATAAAAAAAAAAGAAGAACAGGTGTTCTAACATTTACATATGACGTAAAAGAAGTGCAGCAGAAGGCCCCAGACATTTTATAAGTTCGAATCTTCTGAGGCCGCAATGTAACAGTACAAAACAATACCTCGCACAGTTTACCATATGGCAGAAGGTCGTTAGCCTTCCCTACATCACTTAGTCTTTAAAAACAACCACAAACAATTGTAGCAACAAAAAAAACAAACAAACCCAACACTTTCTCACATCAGTTCTTTCATATGATCATTTTCTCTGTAAAACTGTAAAGAAAAAAAAACAAAGAGAAAAAAACAAAAGCGAGCAAGTAAATACTGTGGAAATACCATTTCCCAAAGCTTGAAAAGTTCTTTGCACATCACGCATCAGTCTGGGCAATATTCAGAGCCTCCAGTGTTCCGGTAACACTACCACTGTACAAGACAACATCTGACATACAAGGGACTTTTGTTTGCATCTTTCTTTCTTCAGCTATGGTTGAGCATTGTTAAGGTATTCATTATACTGTAAAGGTAGAATAATACAACATACCACCTTTATTAGCTAACTACAATATTAACTTATATAACTAAATAAAAGCAGTGACTTTTAGTGTTGAACTAAACAAACTGTTTTACTCCTAGCTAAGCACAAGGCTGTGGTCTTCAGTCAACACTCTGCCCTCCAAGAATGATGTGTGGAAATGTTTGCCCCAAATAAAAAATAGTTGAAATAAATGAATGATGAATGCCTCTCTGTGTTAGGATGACTGACTACACCAGTCAGGGTAAGGCATTGTCAAACAAAAATTTCCTACACGATCACACACAAAAAATGATTCTGTGAAAACAGTAGATGAGCTTTGAGGTCCTGGGTACACATCTTTCATTCACTATCTCATGTCTTCTCTTATTAACAGAGCAGCAAGTAATCTCAATGAAATATAGCATAGCACAGCTATTATTATAATCACACATGCACAGAGCAGGGTTAGAAGTAAGCAACACAAAATAAAAAGAGGGGTACAAAATCAGTGGAACTATCTCCACAAACATACAAAACATGATACCAAAAAAAAAGCACTTGGAAACTTGGGACGGTACAAATGATTTTCCAACACTCATCGCATCTATGCTAGAATCAACAGATAATATGGCCACTTCAATAATATCATCATCATCCAATAGACTTAGACCCTGTTCCCCTTTCCAAACCTCTCTTTCCCTTTCACACAAATGTACAGACATTCGAGGAAACTGTTCATCATCCACGCTACACGGAAGCACAAACATAATAACATAACAAGTGGACTTGATAAATTCATCTCGAATTCAAGATATCAGTAGCTCATCGACAGAATAGTGTATAATTGGGCGCTTTTGAATCAGTTTTCACATACAAAAATATAGACACATCATCAAGACAACCCTGGATGGACAGAAGTAGAAAATCAAAACTCGGACGCAGTCTCAGGTACGGTAGTAAGACAGGCAGGAAACTGACAGTGATTTCAACCTCAATCTCAATCACATCAACAGAACAATAACAAAATTTTCCCATAATGCCGCATTCCCACAAGCAACCTCAACATCTGGACCATTTCAGCAACAACATATTCAACAGAACAGAACAAAAGACAAACAAACAGTTAGCCCAAAAGCTGGTAACGAAGCTGCAATATCATAAACAAGGAACATCACAGTGTGAAACATCTTTGCATATCCTGTAAGACAGTGTTGAAGGTAGATATTGTCGCTGTAAGTTGTAAACCTTGTAAATGTACCACCATCGGACATGAATAGTTTGGTCTAAAATTAGGAAGCAGCATGCTGGCTAATAACTTTGAATACTGGAAGTTTTTTTTAAATGTGGTGAAAATTATATGTAAAAATGTCACGTGACCCCCCCAAAAAATCGAGCTAAAAACACACTTTTTTTTGGGCTCTAAAATAACATTCTGTACTAAGCAGCTATGAGCTTTGCGACTTACAGAGACAATATATTGACTGCTTAGTCTCAGACTCTACCTTAACTCTTTTTATCCTAGCCGTACCCCCACGGACTCTGTACCAGTCCTGGGGCCGCCGCGCCGTATGCGCCGGAAGTCAGTGCGTATAGTTCAAAGTGCTATATTTCTTACATTTACTCTAAGGTTTTAAGGAAATTTGGCAGTTATGTTGGAATTGAATGTAGTTTTTGTAAATATGTATGTTGTTAGGAAATACATCAATAGCACAATGTTGATTTTGAGGTGTATTCCACCCTCGAACTTGACCCTGATTGCCGCGTCCACGACGTCCCATTGGATTTTATAGATCTAGATCTAGCCCTACCCATTGAGCACGAATTCCAGTACTGACCCCTTCACCATGATCTGAATCGCAATTAGATGAGTCTAAGTCCTGTTTCTTATCTTCCACAACGGAATTTACGGCACTTATTTCAGAGTCACTTTCATCAAATTAGTATCATTCCCCCTCACTACCCAGCGCCACTTCAAAAAGTACTTCGTCGGTCGTGAATGTGCGTTTTCGAGACATCTTTCAAGCTTCTACACCCATCAAAAACAAAGAAACCACTATTCATTAGAAAATTAAAATATTCAGGCAGAGCTAGCATCGCCGTATTTGCGTATTTTGGTAATTCCAAGCAGAACTAGCTTCTTTGACGTGACTGTATCGCTGTTCCAAGAATACTCGTAGCCCGGACTCGTCCTCGTTACGAGTATACTCGTAGCCCGGATAAAAAGAGTTAAACCATTTTGAAAAGTGGTGTATGACAGTCTTACACTGAGCAGTCAATATGTTGACTAAGGCCGGGCAGCTTGTAATTGAAATTGAAAATAAGGTATGAACAGTCTGACATTGTATGCTGTGTAAAAGTTAATAGCCACCCTTCTTATTCATAGTTCTGAGAGGACAATTAGAGTGGTCTTCTTGTATTGTATTTTTTTATTTTTTATTTTTTGTTTTCTACAGTCCCCCCCAAAATTGTTAATATGGGGATAAGGCCGTGTCTACATAGAAAAGGACCGGTCATTTCTATGTGAATCAGAACCGTGTTGCTACTACACAGACAGAACTAGGAATGTGTCAGTAAATGGCGGAGGTCATTGAAGGTCACGGTGTTAACTAAGCCAGTCCAGATCGTCGTCGCTGTCATCTCCAAACAGTGGTGGTGGCGGCTGCGGCTTCAAGTCCTGGACACAGAGAGAAAAACATCAACATGAGTTTTAGTAAAAGTTTTACGGCATTTGCAACACAATAAGGTCATATAAGTCCCAAAGATTAGAGGTGTTACAAGGGAAGGGAGTAACAAACACAAAAAAGAAGGAGGAGAGATAAAGACGATAGATGTTTGATAGGATAGAAGGAGCAAACCACACCAGAGCACCCATCAACCATCCACATCAACGTGAGGGGATAGATTACGTCAATATGAGAGAAAAATGTGAAGGGTGAGGGGATAGATTATGTCAATATGAGGGGAAAAATGTCAATGTGAGGGGATAGATAACATCAATATGAGAGAAAAATGTCAATGTGAGCGGATAAATAGCGTCATCATGAGAGAAAAATGTCAATGTGAGAGGATAGATAACGTCAATATGAGAGAAAAATATCAATGAGGGAACGGGATAGATTACGTCAACATAAGAGAAAAACCTCAACGTGAGGAGATAGATAACAACAACCTGAGAGAAAAATGTCAATGTGAGGGGGTAGATAACGTCAATATGAGAGAAAAATGTCAAGTTGAGGGGATAAATCATGTCAATATGAGATAGTTTTAGTAAGAGTTTTACGGCACTTGCAACACAATAAGGTCATATAAGTGCCGAAGATTAGAGGTGTTAAAAGAGAGTAACAAACATAAAAAAGGAGGGGAGATAAAGACGACAGATTATTTATAGGAAAGAAGGAGCAAACCACACCAGAGCACCCGCCAAACACTCACTCAATATGAGAGAAAGTTGTCAATGTGAGGGGATAGATAACATCAACCTGAGAGAAAAATGTGAACACACTATACATGCAGCCATTAAAATACAATATCTTCAGCGACTCACATACTTAAACACGCAGCAACTAACACACCACCATAAGCAGCCACTCTCTAACCATTCTCGCAGCCACCCACAGACCATATATGTGCAGTGATTCCTACATTATACATGAAGCCACCCGTACACCATATGTGCAGCCACTCAGTCATACACAACACACACAGCCACTCCCACAACAAACCATGTGCAGTCTACACTGAGCTCCTGTGTGTTGACTGCTAGATATACACACCACATTACACCAAGCTCCTGTGTGTTGCCTGCTAGATATACACACCACTACACACTGAGCTCCTGTGTGTTGCCTGTTTGATATACACATCCTTTACACTGGGCTTACACTGTGCTCCTATGTGTTGCCTGTTAGATATACACACCACTACTGAGCTTACTTTGAGCTCCTGTTTGTTGCCTGCTAGATATACACCACTATACACTGAGCCCCTATGTGTTGACTGCCAGATATACACACCACTATACACTGAGCTTACACTGTGCTCCTATGTGTTGCCTGCTAGATACACGCATCACTATACACTGAGCCTCTGTGTGTTGCCTGTTAGATATACACACCACTATACACTGAGCCTCTGTGGTTTGATAGCTAGATATATACACACCACTATACACTGAGCCCCAATGTGTTGACTGCCAGATATACAAACCACTATACACACCGGGCTTACACTGTGCTCCTCTGCGTTGACTGCTAAAATACAAAACACAAGACACAGAGTCTACACCTAGAGCATGTGTACTGATTGCTGTATAATATAAACACCACCTACCCCCTCCCTCTTACCTCATCCACAAAATCCACCTTTTTTCTAGTCACAGTTTTCCCTCCCCC